GGTTTCCTTTTGTCATTTTCAAGTGTGGTTTCATCTTTTTTGCCGTCATTGTGATTGTTATTTTTGACGACATCACTAATAAAGTTAATGTAATAATTGTTAATGTTAATGTAATATAACATTAACTGATGTAACAGGTGACAGCAAAGGACAAATAACATCATTGAAAAGCCATTCCCAAGCGCGAGTACAAATTGCCAGTGTGAACAATCTCGAATGTTATTAGGCAAGAAATTATGTGCATTATTAATGACTTGAAAATACATACATAGATACACGTACACACATACATACATACATACATACATACACACACATACATACATACATACATACACACACACACATACATACATACATACATACATACACACACACATACATACATACACACATACACACATACATACATAGATACATTAATATATACATACACACATACATACAGACATACATACATACCTACATATATACATACACACATACAAACAAACACACACACACATATACATACAGACTTTTTCATCATCACATGTTTTTACCTTGGGATGAAAACATAACGTAAGAGTGACACAATAAAAGTTTAACGATCATGCTATAATCATTATTTATTATTATTATTATTATTAACGTTATTATTTATATTATTATTTTATATTATTAATAATAATTAATCATAAAAGAATTTTGCACCATGGAAAAATATTTAATGGCTACATTTTTCATTGAAAGGCGTTTGTTTTCGTTGTAGAACTTATGATGATGACAGTGATGATGGTTATGAGTCATCGTCATCATCATCATCACCATCATTATTATCATTGCCAGCATCATCATCATCATTATCGTCATCTCTATCACCATCTATATCATCATCATCAAGGAAATCAGCTTCGCTATAATCATCGTTATCATCAACATCTTCTTCTTCTTCCCCACCAGAATCATCGTTATCATCATCATCGTAATTATGACCACCACCACCATCATCATCGTTTTCATGAACATCACCATCATCATCATCATCTTATTATTATTTTTATTATTATTTTTATTTTGGTTTTTCGTCTCAACTGATAACGGAAAATCACGGCGTACAAAATGTATATAGGTCTTCTGAGGGTCTACTGGAAAATGAATTCCATTGTTTTGATCGTTCAAAAATATTTCGATAACAATAATAACAATAACAATATTAATAATAATAATAATAATATAAATAATAATTAATGATGATGACGATGATGATGATAATGATGATAAGGTTGATAATTAACAACATCAACTACAACAACAACAACAACAACAAACTCCAAATTACTTCCAAAACTTTTCAAACGCCCACAAGAACGAAAATATTATTTTTGTTTCATTTTTATTACACGCACAAACAGACAGACACACATACACACACACATACACACTCATGTACACACACACACACACACACACACGTACATACACACACACATACATACACACTTGAACAAACATAAACGCATACGCAAAATGATGAATAAATATTTTTGTAAACATCTGCAAGACTATTAGTGTTTAAATTACTACTACCACCACTACTACTACTACTGCTACTACTACCACTACTACTACTACTGCTGCTGCTACTACTACCACTACTGCTACTACTACTGCTGCTGCTGCTACTACTACTACTACTACTATTTTTACAACTATTACTACTTCTACTGCTACTAAAATATTTAAAAATGAAAATGTTTTGGTCAGAAAAAGTCATGTAACGAATAACTATATAAAAACAAAAACAAAGATAAAATACAAAACAATGACAAAAAAACAAAACAAAACTGTAAAATGTGGGAAAATAATTTGCGAATTTTTAAATTAATATATTTCTCTACTGTCTTTGAAAGAGCAAGCAGGAATAAGAAAGATTGCACTGTGCATAATTCATTACAATTAAGCAATTTTCTCCGTAAACTAATGATGCCACATAAACATACCTAAGTTTGTGTGTGTGTATGTGTGTGTGTGTATGTGTGTGTGTGTGTGTGTGTGTATGTGCGTGTATATGTGTGTGCGTATGTATGAGAAAAAGATCGTCACAGGCGCTTCAATATATTAGATGCTATTAAGAGCTGCACAGATAGGTCTTGAGGTTTGTCTTTGGCACACAAAAAAAATTTGAATCAACAAACCTCAATTCTTATTTTGACAACTTTCTTTTATCATTAGTGAACAAATCGGTCATATTTTGTGATGCAACATTATTCAAAGACTTATAAATTAGTACACCAATTTAAAAACATATCTTATCAGCCCGCAATTTAACTGTATATGTGTGTGTGTCTGTGTGTGTGTACGTGTTGTGTGTGTGTGTATGTGTGTATGTGTGTGTATATGTGTGTGTATGTGTGCGTGTGTGAGTGTGTGTGTAATTTATTTTGGGTTTAGTTTAGTTTTTCTAGAAATTTTTCAAGTGGAATGTCCGGGCTAAATTATTCAACAATAAAGTATCGCGTGCTAATCTAAATAAAACAAAACCTCATCAAAATACACACATACGCACATACACACAAACATATATAGATACATACAAACCTACATACAAACAAATAGACAGACAAACAGACGCGCATACATACAATTTTTCGTAACTTTTTTCTTAAAATGGCACAAATAAATTAAATGAAAGAAGTGAAGAATAGAAGTGGTTAATAAGATGTTTTGTAGAATTTTTTTCTTGTTTGCTAAGTTAGTACAGTAAAAAGACACATACACTCACACATACACGCGCAGACACTACACGCACTGATATGCACACATACCCACACGCACACAAAACTTCACAAATTTCAAAATTCAAAAAACGAAAGAATATTGAAAAAAATTTTTTTCAAGTAAAAAAATACGTTTCCTTTTCAAACATAATAGTAATTAATAATAATAATTAGTAGTTGTAGTTGTAGTAGTAGTAGTAGTAGTAGTAGTAGTAGTAGTAGTAGTAGTAGTAGTAGTAGTAGTGCTTGCAATAGTAGTAGTAGCAGTAGTAACAGCAAAAGCTGCGGTGATTATATAAGAAATAGAAGACGTAATGGTAGAAGCTGCAATTTTATTATTACTATTGGCATTTTCAATAAGATTATTATTATTACTGTTATTATTTTTATTATTATTATTGCTATTATTATTATTATTATATTAAAAAATATAAATTAATTGTATTCTTTCGACTATTTCTAAAAGCGAAAAACAACGAAATCCTACCCCAGCCAATAGAG